GAAATGGCAACCCACTCCAGTACTTTGCTTGGAAAACTCCATGGATGGAGAAGCCTGGCGGGCTACAGTCCATTGGGTCAGAAAGCATTGGACATGACTGAGCGACTGAGCACGTGCGCACACACACACACACACACACACACACATATCACTGACTATTTCTTGAATTGTGCTGACAGGGCTATGCCCACTGTCTTTATCAGAAAAATAGCCTATTTGTCCATGTGCTATATTCCCATGAAAGTAAACTATATTTAAATTATCCAAACCAAAAGGGTTTGATATCCTCTTAGTATATCATGCTGCCACCTTCAATCCTGAAATCATAAACATGACTCACATTAATAGTTATTAAGTTAGAGGAGATATTTCAAGATTAGATGCTGAAATATGATCCCCTGCCTTTGTTTAAACAATGTATAAAGGAAAATATGAAAAGCTGATCAACTAAGCAAAATTAGAAAACAATGCATTTAAACAGAATTGCTTTGATGTTGTGCTCTATTTTCAAACTTTATGATTTTTAAATTCTGTAATACAGAGGAAACTGTTTTTCAGTTATACTTTCACAAAAACTGTATTTTAAATTTGAGTTCTAAGGAAAAGTGCTTTTTTCCCTTGGAGAAATATGGACACCATTTGTGATAGTGAGAAATAAAAAACTTAACATTTTTCCTTTTAATTGTGATTGCTGGATTTAAATTTTATGCTTGATCACAATTTTTTTAACTATCTGTACCTCATGGTTAGACAATGTGCTTCTCATTCATTGCATATGGTTGATTATCTCTTTCATTAAATAGTATCTTTATTCACTGCATGTCTGAGTTTTACTAAAAGAAATCCTAGTATCTTTTGATTTGCACCAAGATAACATGTCTAGCTATTGTGAATATTTTCACTCTTTGGGAAGCCAAGGCTTAAGACAACTCAGATAGCAATTAGTTAACTTCACAATTCAACACTGACCTTCTGACCATCAAATTCTATTCTTTCCCACTATATTACGCTGCATCACTGATAATTTCATTTATTTTGTTCAGTGACAGTGCACACACACTTATGTCAAAACCTTTCCAAATGTAAAATATAAAGTAACTACTTTGAAGTTATTTCCAAATTAAATTATGTGCATCTAAAATGCCAAGGGCCTCAGTGTAACTGGAGTTTATGTGAATTTTCAGTAGAATTTGACAGGTCTTTCCATTAAGTATGATTTTCTTACCAAAAAGATGCACTGCTGATCTGAAAATGCTAATCCCTTTTAGAATATTATAAAACATTTTTATACATAAATTGAAAACACACTCTATTACTATTGGCATACCTTTGTTGAATTAAAACTAAGAGTCTACAAATGTTGATATGTATAAAAAGAATATCAACAATACTATGGAAGACAAAAGAAAAATCAAACTGTGATAAAACCTATAAAGATTTAGAAGACTATAAGATTACTCATATATTTAGATATTTGGAATTATTGAAATACTGTAATTCCTAAATACGCATGCCAAAGATAATTTTATGAATACGGCAATTGTATCTTTGTATATTAAAAAAGTGTGATACATCACATAACTTAAAATGAAACTGTTGTGATAATATTTCACACTTGAATAACTAATGCTTATGGATAAAAAAATTATAGTTTTTAATAAACATCATGTAGAGGTAAAATTTTCTCTATGGTTGTCATCTGAAAATCTCCTTCCAATTTACAAATTAAGAAAAATTGATCAATTACTCATGCAAATAGAAAATAATAGATTTTAGGTTTATAATAAAGATTAAGTGACAATAATATGGGGATTTCTATAAATAAATAAGAGAACTTTAAAACACCACAGATTAAAAAAAAAGTTTCACTATTATGTGTGAAGTAGCACTATTCAAGTTCTCATTAGAAGAGATTAATGGAAATGAAATATAGGAATATTATTTAAAATCAAAGACTAATATGGAAAAATGATATTGAAATCTTCCTTTGAGGGAGAATTGAAAATTTTAAAAGGAAAAGTTTTAAAGCATATAACAGATAATAATAGAACTTTAAAAGAAATTCCCAATATAGATAAATTTGGGGGGTATGCTTTATTTGTTTTAGATAGGAGTGAATATATTCAATGTGGGACCAAGGGGAGGAAAAGTATTTTCTGTACCAAAGACATTTCGTTTAAATCATGATTTTTCTCAATACTTTTGGGTCAGAACATAATATTTGTCAGTGTGTATCCTCAACCTCTACTTAACCCTATTTAAATTGCTGTATATAAAATAATAAAGAAGCCAGTCTATAACATAACTGAAAGGAAGCTCTATGGGGGAAAACATGTTGTTATATCTATGTGCCTATACTATCAATTACAGGATCAATTATGGGGCAAGCTATTAAAAATAGCTAATGGTACTAGGGAATCTTAAGAGTTTTCAGTTTATTTTCATAATATTTTATAAATAATACAGATTAAACAAAAACATGGGGAAAAACATCAATCTTTGGAAATAAGATATAAATCAATAATAATTACAAGTACTCAATAAATATTTGAGTAATTAGGAAATCATGCCACATGGAGATCTGGTGGTGACTTTTGAGTAGAATATTCCACAAAATTTTCTATATTGAATTGGTTACAATGTAGATACTTCTGAAATTATATGGTAGCATGAAACAATCTAAAAATCACAATTGTCATTTCATGTCTGGGCATGTATTCAGCACATCAGATTATGGAATTATGAATTTTATAGCTATTTAAGTTAGCCTCGCAGAGTTTTTGCTAATCCAAATTTCTTTGATTATAGTTTTAATAATTACTTCTCCAATTCAACTACTGTGGTTTAGGTAAAATGCTTTTTGAAGATACTGCAATTGGAAAAATCAAGGCTGAATCAGGAAAGTTTTAAAAGGATACAGTGCAAAGGTGTGCTTTTATATATTAAAACTTTTCCTTTATTTTATTATAAAATTATAGCTTACATTTTCTCAGGCCACCTTATTCCCTCTATAAGTGTGAAGCTACAGATTATACCTAAAATCACCCTCATTTGAGCTCCTTTTCCTGCTGAATATAGAAATAATTCATATCTCATAAAACACTTCCTATTTTGCTTCAGTAAATTTTTTTATATGTTATTCTTCAGTGCTGAAACTGGATAGACAATGCAGGAAAATCAAATTGAATCTTGAAAATACTATAAAAGTCAATTTAAGATCAGTCAGTAGAATACTGATAATTAAGTACACAAATCTACTAACAATTTTGTACTACTGTCTTATAATGTAAAATAACCAAAGATACCATTTTCATGGAACCATACAGCATAAAGCAAATGAAATACCACTTTATTTTTTAAGACAGGACATCTATGTTTTTTTTCCTCTCTCCAAGCTGTACATTTCAATAAATGTAGTGCTTTTATTTCAATAAAATAAGTGCTACTTTATTTCTATTCAGATAAAGAGTACCTTACTGAAGGATTCCATGAATTAAGCAGAAAGGATCACCACATGAGTCAAAGATGATAGTCATTTGAATATCTGCCATGCCATCTGCCTTAACTCATTGCAGAGGGAAATCAGAGCCATAAAATCATGTGAGTGGAAAACTCCATAAGGAAAGGGGTGAACCCAGAAATAAAGAGGCTCTATAAAAACTATTTATTTTCAATTAAAAGTCCTCTTATTTCTGAAGTACATGAAAATTTTAAAAATTTAAGTAAAAACTCAGCAAAATGTGATTGTAAATTTAAAGATGACACTGGCTAAAATCATAAGATTTAAGTAATATGCCCAGTTATTTTTAATAAAATAAAGGAAAACAAATTTTTCTATAGATATTTAATTTTCATTTTAAAAATATAAAGTTTATGAGCTAATGGATATACTAGACAATATATGCTATTGTAAGAGATGTTACTACAGTGCATATCTTTAAGAGAAAATCCACATTCATGTTTCCATTTGAATTAACAACTTTACAATAGAAATTATAGATTTTTCTACAGTGGACTTTGTCTAAAATCTTGAGTTAAAATCTTAGGAATTTTTATTACAGTGATACCCAATACACTATTACAAATTTCAATCATATTAATCTTTTGCTATTATTGTGAGAAATGTATTGACAGGGTAGCTGTAGAAAGGTTACTGGTATACAACATATAAATTGTTGAAATCTGCATTCCAGAAAACAATATGTAGTTTAATACTATTTTAGTTATTAACTGTAAGCTGCTGAAAGCCATCATATTAAATTCCCAAAGTGCTTAACACTGAAGATTACTAAAAAGGAAGGTATTATAAAAAAAAAAAAACAGATAAATGGAAATATGTAACTGTGGCAATGTTCACTGAATAGTAGCTAATACACTGCTGAGAATGAAATGAATTATTTACATAAGTAGTCTGAGGATAAAGTGCACTAAATCCACACAATATTACTAAACATTAGAGAAGACACACTTTTATTAATATTCCATCTTCATAATAATCATTTTAAATAGTTTTTTAAGTTAATATAGCAAATACTGTATCTCACTTATTCAAAATTATACCTGTTAATAAAAATGGTAGACAGCAATCTTAACAAGGTTAACTAAAATAGCATCCACAAAAACACTGTATATAGAAATGGATTTCAATTGATGAAGAGCCTGTTTAGAATTTTCTGAATTTTCTGCAGTGTTTTGTGGTACGTTTAGGTAGCATGTCCCACTGCTGAAGCACTTTCTTAAAGATAAATATTACATGTTACACATTACCTTTTAGAGGTTATAATCTTTATTCTGGACAGTGTGCTATAAAATCCAACTAACTTTTATACTGCAATTTAGTTATGATCACAATATTGCCTCGGCAAGAAAATGGTCATTTTTGCTTACTCAAATTACCATGTTTAACAGCTAAAGATATTTTGCCTCTATCATAAAATGCAGTTGTGTATACCAAAATCATTCTACACATCAAAAGAGGCAGAGGTATTAAATAAATATACCTTGATATGGAGCACTAAATCCACGATATCGATGATTGCTGTCTGTAACAAAATGCAGTCTGAGCCAGTTTTTGTTGCTGATAATTGGTGGTGGTATATTCATTCCAGATAACCTGAATTATGGAAGACAACAACAAAAAATTTAAAAAGCTTTTGAGTAGTAAACATTTTCACTGAATTGGGACCCCAAAAAGTTTACCTGTGTACAATATTCATAACTTTTCACTGCTGCCTTTTTAAGCACAAGTGAAATAGTTGTTTTACGCATAGAAAAGTATAATTTCAAAATAAGCTGTTCCAGTCAGGTTGCATATAGGAGTAAACTCAACGGGAAACTGAGTGTAATTTTTGATTCTCCCAAATTTATTAAATAGACAATAATAAACATAAGGCTGCTTAGCTAATAGTGTTGGTCACTGCATAACCTACATATGTAGTGATATAGTATAATTACAAAACAGACTTTAAAGCAATTGATATAATTTTTTTCATTTTATATATTTTTAACATTTCACATTCAATGGAAGATTTCACTATTTCATTTCAAAGAACAAGCACTATTTTAATGTAATTTCATAGCATTGTACATTTGTGTGGTTAGCTTTCATTATAATACTATAAAGCACTAGAGTTCTGCTCCAATTGATAGAAAACAGATTGTATTTTGTATATATACTTAGTCACCATGTATCTAGTCACAAAGATTATTGCATAATCTCCTTAAAGCAAATATTTAAAACTATGCCCCAGATATTGGTCATGATTAACAGATGAAATAACTTTCTTGCTCTATAATCTTTTGAAGATTTCCAGCAAAGCAGTTTTTCCTGATTTAATTCCACAAAAAATACCACCCTATAAACCTAACTATTTAAATAGTAGATGTGTGTTATAAAGCGAAGGTAAAATGCTCTCAAAATACTATTATATTGTGAAGCAGAAATCTAGAAAACGTTTTCTAATACCAATATATGACATATCTTTCCCCATCTTCAAAGCCTGCACTTTTCTTCCTTTCTTCATAGGAAGACAAACTAGACCACTCGGGGGCGCGCGTGTGTGTGCGCGCGCGCCTGTGTGTGTTGGGGCAGGAGATTACAACCCTTCTCTCAATGCTTGCCAGCAATTCATTCTCAGAGATAGGTAGGGGGAGATCAGAATATCCATCCTTGCACATGTTATGAGTAGTGAAGTGTAGACAGTGAAGCAAAAACATTTTATCTTACATCCTTCCCTTTTATTCCCCTAAACTCACTTTCCTAGGATGCTTGGGAGCTAGCCATCACTTTTAGTGGATAACCACCTGCCAAAGAACAAAAATTATGAATTCACATTTATTGTATCACTGTGCCCAAGAATGTATACAATGGGCTTGGCAACATTATTGTGAAATCCAATTTTCATGGATTCTAAGATGAACAAGGTGGGTTCTATCACATATGTTTCTGATTTCTCCACCAGCTTTGGAATGAATTTTCTTTAACTTACCCCTATCAGTGTATCAAACTGATACAGAAACGATATGGACCTAACTGTAGAGAAATGGTACAGACCTAACAGAAGCAGAATACATTAAGAAGAGGTGGCAAAAATATACAAAAACTATACAAAAAATATCTTAATGATCCCAGATAATCAAAAATGGTGTGATTACTTATCTAGAGCCAGATATCCTGGAGTGTGAGGTTAAGTGGGCCTTAGGAAGTATCACTACGAACAAAGCTAGTGGAGGTGATGGAATTCCATATAAGCAATTTCAAATCCTAAAACATGATACTGTGAAAGTGCTGTACTCAATATGCTAGCATATTTGGAAAATTCAGCAGTGGCCATAGGATTGAAAAAGGTCAGTTTTCATTTCAATCCCAAAGAAAGGCAATGCCAAAGATTGTTCAAACTACTGCACAGTTGCACTCAAAAAAACACACTAGCAAAGTATGCTCAAAATTCTCCAAGCCATGCTTCAACAGTACATGAACTGAGAACTTCCAGATGTTCAAGTTAGATTTGGAAAAGGCAGAGGAACCAGAAAAACATCTGCTTCATTAACTATGCTAAAGCCTTTGACTGTGTGGATCGTTACAAATGTGGAAAATTCTTAAAGAGATGGGAATACCACCTTACCTGCCTCCTGAGAAATCTGTATGTAGTAGGTCAAGAAGCCAATTAGAACTGGACATTGAACAACACACTGGTTCCAAACAGGGAAAGGAGTACATCAAGGCTGTATACTGTCACCCAGCTTATTTAACTCATATGTAGAGTACATCATGTAAAATGCCGGGTTGGATGAAGCACAGGCTGGAATCAAGACTGCCAGGAGAAATAGCAATAACCTCAGATATGCAGATGACATCAACCTTATGGCAGAAAGTGAAAAGGAACTAAAGAGCTGTTTGAGGAAAGTAAAAGAGGAGAGTGAAAAAGCTGGCTTAAAACTCAACGTTCAAAAAAATAAGATCATGGCATCCGGTCCCATCACTTCATAATAAACGCATGGGAAAACAATGGAAACAGTGAGAAATTTTATTTTCTTGGGCTCCAAAATCACTGCAGATGGTGACTACAGCCATAAAATTAAAAGACATTTGCTCCTTAGAAGAAAAGCTATAACCAACTCAGACAGTATATTAAAAAGCAGAGACGTTACTTTGCCAACAAAGGTCCATCTAGCCAAAGCTACGGTTTTTCCAGGAGTCATGTATGGATGTGAGAGTTGGGACCATAAAGAAAGCTGAGCTCCAAAGAATTGATGCTTTTGAACTGTGGTGTTGGAGAAGACTCTTAAGAGTCTGCATGAGATCCAACCAGTCAGTCCTAAAGGAAATCAGTACTGAATATTCATTAGAAGGACTGATGCTAAAGTTGGAGCTCCAATATTTTGGCCACCTTATGCGAAGAATGGACTCATTGGAAAAGATCATGATCCTGTAAAACACTGAAGGCAGGAGAAGGGGACAACAGAGGATGAGATGATTGGATGGCATCACCGATTTGATAGACATGAGTTTGAGCAAGCTTCGGGAGTTGGTGAAGGGCAAGGATTCTGGCGTGCTGCAGACCATGGGGTCACAAACAGTCGGATACAGCTGAGCAACTGAACTGAACTGAATCAGTGTCTTATTTCTTCTTTTCTTAGCATGACTGTTCATAAGTAGAGCTGGCTGTTTGTTTTTTTTTTTAACTGCATCTGAATTGAGTAAATAAATATATGTAAAATACATGCTTAATTTTAAAATTCACCTTTAAAAAATTTACTTCATTTCTTTCAGAAAGTGCAGTATCCAGGTTATATTTAATTTTGTTTGCTTTTTGGGTGGCATGGTTTAAACAAATTTCAATGAAAAATATTTGGATTTGGTACAATTATATTTTCAGTACATAGCATGCCTGGTTTTGATTTACAATTTTATGCTCTTCAATTCCCTAATTCAATGAGCATAACCATCCATTAGGGAAAGTTTAAATTATTTTTGATAGGCTGCACACATTTCTAAATATAAAGAGAATATAATATATGGATGGCTGTAAAAGACTAAAGTATACAGTATGCACAATGACCTTTAGAAAATCCAACAGATGAGAAGCAACTCAACAAGGACATCAAGAAAAGTGTGAGAGGAAAGAAGATGATACAGACAATAAAAATGATAAACTTTCCACCTTTCTCAGCAACATCAAAGATAATTCCAGCAATAGAATGAAGTAAAAAGGCAAGTAATAGCTACTATGGAACTACAGTTTATAAACAGAATTCAGGTTCAGGAATTGAGAAAGACAGAACTGAAGATGTTAGAGCAGAATTATCTAGAAGCAAAATGTGCATGAGGCCGAGCAAAGAATGACAATTTAACAGAGGTGGAAATAAACAGATATTCCTAACAGATCAGTGCTTATTCTCACGAAGCATAACAGTAGACAAACCATGACACTGAACTAGAACTAAAAATCAAGTGCACCAAAGACCCACTTGCCCCCAGAGAGGAAAACTATTTAGCTTCATAAGGGAGTCACATGGAGTTTTCAAATTGCTCTTAGTATTGCTCACTATTTAAACATGATTTATACAATATGACTTCATGACTTATGGAGCAATCTAGTAAATGAATTTCCATATATGTGCAATATACTTCACATGTTATCAGGAGGTCTGAGATTATATGCCAACTAGAAAGATTAAATTAAATTAACTAATCATGATAAATAATTTCTTAAATACTAATGGAGATATTTCTTAAATATAACTCATTGTTATCCCTATATGAAGCTACTATGGTCACTTGAAGGTAGGCCCATATGGATTCATTTTAGTATAAAAGTGAGAATCACCTCTTGGTACTGAAAGAGAATAAGTATACTCATTATTTACTGAGCATTTACTATGTGACAAACACTGATGTTAAGGGTTGGAAATATAATTGTAAACACCACCAACAAGATCTGTGGTCTTACAAACAAAGAAGATAACAGAAACAAATGAGTAAGATAATTTCAGAGGGTGGCAAAAGATATACCAAAAAAAAAAAAAGAGCAACATGATGAATTTCTAGCAATAGCTTTTCAATTTGTCGTTATCTTCTGCATTTTACACTTTAAACAGCCATACTCATGATTTTATGTTGTGAAAGTGTAATTATTAACTTGGATTTTAGGAGTATTATATAAATAACAATAACACTAAACGTCATAAACTTGTAACCTATGATAGTTATTTATTCCCCAAAAGAATTTAAGACATGCCATTTGAGTAAATAATAAATTTGAATGAGCATAGTAAATTAATAATAGCATCAAATTTCATTGCATATTCAATATAGGATACTGACAATAATACAGTGTGATCTGCCATAATTAATCTTTACTAAAATTGCAATATACAATTTTCTAGAGAAATAACTAAATCATAAGTTGGCATTAAATTAAATGCAACATTTTATTCTTATAGATATTACCTTAAATAATATGATTATAACCCTTACAAGATTGTTTTAAAACTCAATTAAGTGTAAGAAAACTAAAAGAACCAGAAGTCTTTACCATTTTTTTAAAAAGACCCTAGAACTATTCTGAGCTTATTCTTTTGGTTTATAACTCTCTTCTCAGATCCTCATTG